ACGTGTGATATAAACTACAGTATTTAAGACAAGTATTATACAGACTACTGTATATAAGAGACATTAATAGTGGAAAGTATTATATATTATAAATATGTACGATAGACACCACTGTATATAACTGACATTTATGATAGAAAGTATTATATATTATAAACATGTATGATAGACAACACTGTATATAATGTATCATACATACATAATAGACATGTGTGTATTACATTCTACTGTATATATACATATATGATACAGACTACTGTATATAATAGACGTGTCATACACGCTACTCCATAAAATAGACATGAATTACACATAGTACTGTATATAACAGAAATGTATGATACATACTTCTGGATATAAAAGACGTGTGACACAAACTACTGTATTTAATGGACAAGTATGATAGAGACTACTGTATTTAATGGACATGTATGAATCAGACTACAGTAGATAATAGACATATGTGATTCATTCTACTGTATACAATAGACTTGTATGATACAGACTACTATATATAATAGAAATATATGAGTACTGTATATAACCGACATTTATGATACACAGAACTGTATATAAAATATATATGTGTGATACAGACTACAGTATATAACAGACATGCCTGATATAGAATACTGTACATAACCGACATGTATAATACAGAATGCTGTATATAATAGACCCGTGATACAGACTACTGTGTATTATAGAGATAATAACACAGACTACTGTATTTAATAGGTATATGTGATCGAGAATACAGCATAAGATAGACCTGTGTGATAGGGACAACTGTATGTAACCGAGATATATTATACAGACATTATATAAAAGAAATATATTATAAAGAGTGCTATATATATAATACACAAGTGTGGTACAGACCACTGTACATAATAGACGTGTATAATATTACTACTGTATGTAATAGACATGTATGATACAGACTGCTGTACATAGTAGTCATGTGTGGTACAGACTATTATATATATATACATATTAGACATATGTGGTACAGACTACTGTATGTAATAGACATGTATGATACAGACTGCTGTACATAGTAGTCATGTGTGACAGACTACTGTATGTAATAGATTTGTTTGAAGGAAACTGCAGAATGTGACTGCTATATAATATAGACATTTATAATAGAGACCATTTTTATATAATCAACATGTATGATACAGAATACTGTATATAATAGATTAATTTATGCAATAGAGATGAGTGATAGACTAGTGTTTAAAATATAGATGTATAACCTACAGTACTGTATATAATAGACATTTGTGGTGCAGACACTACAGCATATATTAGATGTGATGGAGACTACTGTATATAATAGGCATGAGTGATACAGATTACTGTATGTATAATGGACATATATAATACCAACTGCTGTATATAAAAGACATGTATGATAAAGACTACTGTATGCTCCCTAGAGGCACAGCGGTATATCAACGGACTTATACCACTAGAAACTTGATTTCGATACCTGTGTTTGGCAGATATGTGTAATTTTCTGCTTAATAACAAAGACTACTCTATATACAGCGCCCCCTGTCTTCACCCCCTGTGGTGGTAATCAATTTTAGTTATTTTCTTGTAAAAGACATAACTCAAATTGCCAAAAATATTTATTATATTAATCTGAGACCAGTTTTTTAAAAATTACAAAGAACAAAAGGTACATTGTTACTCAATTTAGTGATATAACACAAAAAAAAGCCTGAAAACACGTGTTGCAAAAGTTTTCACCACCCTCAGCTTTTACCATCGTTGTTTTATCTTTACGTCACTACTCTGCTAAAGTAAATAAAAATGACTCTCTACAACTCTATTAGATACCAAAGTATATTATAGAGCCATGTGAAAAAAATACTTTAGATCATATAGAGCCATCAGTATTGGTTTATGTAGAATGAGTTATTAAGTGGTTAGGTTTCTATCACAACTTGATAAATATAGTTTTTATACCCTAAAAAGAAGCATAAGGCAAGAGGATGTTTAATAGTGTTTTATTTCACTTTTTGCGATGAAATTAGTCACTGAAAACTGTCACTGGCATACCAATGTAAAAACCTTCTTGAGTAAAGTATAACTTTTTCATTTACTTCAAATTTTAATGCTCTTCATTTATCACATTTCAAGATAGATAAATTTCAGTCTGTGTGTGTATGTGTGTGTGTGTGTTTATCTAATATCAAAGCCACGTCAGACTATCTGCTGTGTCCACCGAGGGGAATCGAACCCCTGATTTTAGCAGTGTAAATTGTAGACTTTTGTAATATCTACAAGGAATATGATTAGTTAAAAAGCCTTTTGCAATTTTTATACAGCTTACGAAATAATGAAACACTTTAATCTTACAGGCTTGATTCGTAAATTATTAATGTATTACTTACTTACAGCAAAGAAAGAAAAACATTGCCAAAACTTACTGCAAAGACTTGTATGACATTCAAACATTCATTTAGATTTATGACGCCATTTTTCTGGAGTCAAATAGTATTTTATTTTACTTTTCGCAGATGAAATTGGTAATGTTCCCCAACTTACAACACTACAAAACGGGTTTCGATACCCGTGGTGAGCAGAGCACAGATAGCACATTGTGTAGTTTGTGCTTAATTACAACCTTCCTGAGTAAAGTATAACTTTTTTAATTTACTTCAATTTTTAATGCTCTACCTTTATAACGTTTCAAGATAGATACATTTTGGCTCTACAAAATTGATAAATACTGTAGACATGGAAATTAGTAGC